CCATCAGCTTCTCATAGCACATTGCACAAATGAAAAGGCTGGATGAAGCACAAGCTACTCCACTGAGTGCAAGCAGGAAGAGCGTCTAATTTAGGCCATTCACCTAAACTAGGGGAAACCAGCTTCAGGAGCAGTTTGTTACATACCCCAGAGGGAGCAGTTGGTTTCATCTCCAACTTGGAAACAACGGTTTGTTTGCTGCTCTCCCTACGAAGATGACACAGGAAAGTTCTCTGCCATGTGCCGACCCCTGTAAAAAGTCTGAAAAGAGCACATGTGTCATTAAACCCAAGATGTGCTTTTGACACAGAGCCCTCCCGAGACCAGTGGCTGCTTCATTTGCTCCCTCTGGCTTTGCCCCAGGCTGTGCAAGGACCACTCTGCCAGCATAATTACACACCAGAGTGGGAAACAGAGGGGCGTCATTACGTCCCCTGAACAACCTCAGCGAGATGATGACTACTGGCCTGGGCTAATCACTTCAGGCTGCATCACCCTTCACTCTCCCAAGGCATCACCCCAGGAAACACGGGGAAGTGACAAGAAACCAAGACACGTACCAAGAGCAGAGTGATGAGGCTGACAGATAAGGAGGGCAGTTCAGGAATATCACATCCATCTTCTTCCAAGGATTAAATAAAAATTAAAAAATGGCAGCAAGTGTGGGGCTACAACCCCTCAGGACTCTGAATGGCCCTTAGCAGTCCTGTGGGTTTCTGAAAAAGGGCTGATAACTCTACAGAGCTGGGTGACACGGCTCCCTGGGGTGGCAAAAAGACCTGTTGCAGCCGTAGGCTGTATTTTATCCAGGTGCATCCAGTTACAGCAACTCTTAGAGGGAGAGGGGAGGAGTGAGTGGGGAGTCCTTGTACCCATACTGCCTCTAACCCCAAAAGACCAAGTCACCAGGCAAAGAGAAGAACACGGTCCTGAGACATATACAAGACTGGCAATGAAGTGTTTTAGGGAATCAGACATAAACAATTTAGCAACAAGCTACAGATAAACACTTTTAACCAGTTTGGAAATAAAAAATAACAACAACTTGAAAGACAAATTGAAAAATTCTGCCTGGAAAAGGAGCACACAGCGTGAGATCACAGGATTCAGCAGACTATAAAATAGGAAATGAGACTTACTCTTCTGCCCCTACAGCTACACAAAACCCTCCTCCACAGATTACAGACATGCTTGGCAATTGCCTCCCTCCTCCAGCCTCTCCCGTTATGGACGAGGCAGAGTTGGTAGAAGCCTGAATGCAGAGAGGATATTAGATACAGCGTCTTGCAAAGCCAAGTGTGAAATATTAACAACAGGAGGCAATGGGTTGTGTTTTTATGCAAGATCACAAATTTGGTGCTTAGAGAGCCTGAGATGTTCTTGCACGCTGGAATCTCAAAATGCTTGTTGAATGTTTCATTAAAAAAAGCTATTGAAGCCTACTGGAAAATTTCTGTGAGTTCTCTTATTTGCTGCATCTCCTCTAACTTCATTGGTTTTGTTCTTTTTCCTTCCTGCAACACTAAGAAATTATGCACGAATGAAAAGGTTCTTCCTTCCATTCATCTGGCCAGTTTTAAAACAATTCACACTCGTAAAGCGGGCACTTTGCAAGCCTGTATTTTCACATGAAATTACCACAATTGTGCACATTGCATCCGAATTACTGGATGCATTTGTACACACAATTACCCAATTTGCACACAGAACTGCAATAACCGGGCAGGCAAAATGGACAGGCAGCTGCTCAGCTGAATGGAGCATCACGCCTGAGCCACATCTGGCACGGGGCAGGTTTGGCTTCAGGAGGTGAAACGGGTCACAGATATTCCCACACACAAAAGAACTGCTTTTTCCCCAAGCACCCGCAGCACAGACAGCAGAGCGGCTGCCCACCCCTACCCTACCTCAAACTTGCCTTTGGAGGAAACTGCCTCCAATTCAGCGTCTACAATAGATTCAGGCCTTGTTTATCCTGCTGTCTTTGCTGCCCATTAATGCCAACTGCGACGGTTAGCGGTGTGATGTCTATTCAACACCGGACACCGGGCTCCAGGAAAAATGATCTCCGCCACTTTGGAGCGTAACTGACACCTGCTGTCACAATCTTGCATGAAAAAAAAAAAAAATCCATGCTCCGAATATCCAACAAGCAGTCAAGGAGAAACATAAGGAGAAGGAGCCTAAGAGAAGACGCAAGGCTTCCTCCTCCTTTGCAAGAGCCTCAGTAGTAAAGGAGCAGCAAAGATGAGGGGAGAAGAAAAAAAAAAAAAAGGAAAAAAAAAAAGGGA